GAGGAGGGGGAGGAGGAGGAGAAGGAGTGGCACCCCCTGAGGCGCGGAATTCCCCGTCAGCTAAGGCGGTGGCCTATGTGCTAGAGCTCGTGCCGCGCGGGATCGCCGTGCGGAGGCTCTGAATCGGGCAGCGATGGGGCTCGCTGTACGACCTGATGCGGCAGGATTGGCGCGGCAGGATTGGAACACATAATGGATGATGCCCGCGGCAACAGCATGCGACAGGAAAGGGGCATTGGAGTCAGAATCGAACTCATGTGGAATCGGCACTGCAAAAGGCTCCTTCCCCCAACTCGCGGGCAGACAAGGAAGACAATAACGAACAGCAGGAAGCACCGATGGGCAGCAAGCATAATGAACCATCAGATCACCTTTGGCGCACCCACATCCGAACACACAATTGGCAATGGCCTGTCGATATCTCCTGGTGGTGTTCCACCCGTTAAACATAGTCTTGACCAGGCTCGTGAGAATATACGTCGGCAGCTTCAGGTTTTCAAGGGTCCTGATCCGACCCCAAGGAAAAAACGCATTCCTACTCGTGGCCAGCGGAAATAGTTTCCGAATTCTAGGCTGGACAATATTCACCATATATCCACGCTGCATGGTACCCGGAATGTGCTTATGGATATTACTATGAATGTTTTCCTTCGGAATGCCGTTGGGAATCGAAAGCTCAATCAGGAACTGGAGTAAATCTCACTATCTGAAACAGGATGGAGTCAGACAGGTAGCTGTTCGTATGCCATGTTAGGTCATAGTAGTCACTGGCCGAGTATAAAAAGACCAACGTCAACATATTATGGAGGCTGTCGAAAAGGAACGCAGATCGGATCATCGCAGCCTTCGAAAACGCTTCCAGCGATCTGCACTCTTGCGGATGGCCAAGCTCAGCGAGGCGAATCAGCGCCTTCGGCGGAAAAGAGTGTCTCGGGCAGCAAGTCAGCAATTGGTGGCTCTCCTTCTCATTCAATTGAATTCATCTTTCTTCGCCATGGGGGGGCGCTGGGCAATGTGGGGCGGGATCGGGGCGCAATGCCTGTTATCCAACAATCGACGTGGTATGTCCCTACCCCAAACACTTAATCTCATACGCTGTCCTCCACATTTTGCTGCTGGCCTAGCCCCGTGCATGTGCGCGAGCACCTTTGCCCGCGGGCACGCCGGAAGTGGTGACCATCTCGGCGATCTGAAATTCGTCGGCCTCAAAACCGCATTCGCGAAACTTGCGCGGGACATGTTCCCTGGGCAGACTCTTGAAGAACATGAATGTGAATTTTTGATTTCCAATGATAATCCAGAAAATGGTCAGCGCATTCGAATTATGCCAACCACCCGAGGAAGGGCGCGAACAAAGATTGCGGGCAGCAGCTGATAGGTCATCTGCACACGCCGAGGGACATATGGCAGTCTAAGCTGAAGCGTTTCAAGAGCACGAAGTAGGGGATCCAGAATAAAAGCCCACATAGGTCCACTAAGAGGGCGCCCTCGACGAATCCCGCGGAGAGCCAGGCATCCTCGAAAGTTCTTGGAGCCGATGATGATGAAACAAAAAGCGTTTTTTGTAGAGCGCCTTAAAGGCCTGCAGGATGACCGGGGGGGGGGGGGGGGTGCATGCGCGGACAGCGCGTCGGACAGCCAGGTGTGGAGTGCTGGGGCAGAGGCCGCTGGCAGATCGAAGGTGGCTCCACCAACGCCTTCTTCTCCGTTGAAAACTCCCCGAAGCGCGAGGGGCCCTTCAAAGCCGTAGACATTGCCCGCCAGCTTCCGACCGCCAATGAATCCGCGCTGTATCATGTAGTTGTTTTTGGGCACGGGGCTTCAGGGGGCATGCGATCGCGTGGCACCTGGACTTCTGAACAGTATTACTTAGTGCGAGCGAGCGAGTGTCTTCTGCAGGTTTGCCAACTTTACCATCGGCAGGCACCTCGCCCTTCGGGGGGGGGATCAGCTTGCAATGACTGAAAGATTCGTGCAAGACACCACTTGCCATCAAACAAGTATAGTGCTAGCGCAGTGAATCTTCTACTACTGTATTACCGCACTGCCAAACATAATAGGGTAGTCCGTCGGGTCCAGGGGCTGCGTCAACTCGAGAATGTAATGAGTATGCGAACTGCCCAGGACTGATAACCCAGGGGCACCTCTGGTGGCTGATGGTGGTGCGCTGGTGAGGGCCCCACGAAATTCGGGGAACCAGGTCCAGGAACTTCTGCGCATTTTCCTCAGTGGAGACACCGGGGCGAAAGACCTTGGACCAGTACTCGGCAAGTGTGGCAGCACAGGCTTCTAGGTCGGCGTGAGCTTGTCCGCCGGGATCCACCGCCGAAGCCAGACAAATCTGTCGCTTGGAAGCCCACCAATCTTCTCGGGTCTCTGGATCCGGGCCATGTGGAAATCACGAGCTTTCCCAGGAAGCGTTTTCATGCGTAATTCCTCCTCGTAGCCGTGCGCAGGAAATCCAGGGAGGTCGGTCCAGAGCTCCATCCCTAAATCGCAGTACTGGGCCAGCTGGTCGCAGGCCTTGACAGCCCGCCTGCGAGCGCCCGAAATCCCCGCACGAGAGGCTCTCAGGATTTTGGCACAACTGGAAAATTTCTCAGGAGTCTTGGCGCCCAGGGCAAACACAGGCATGCGAGTCTGTTCAGCCGCATGCATCCTCCAATCCTTGGGCTCTAAGAGCCTGTCAGGAGGGTTCACAGTCAACTCATCATCTCGAAGGCGGTCATCGAGCTCTTCGCAAAATCGGAGGTGTCGGGCGATCCATTTCGGGATGGGGACGATCCCGGGCCTTTCTCGCATAGGGTTCAGGGTGGAGAAGACGGGGGCGCGGTCGGAGGGTTTCGTGAAATCTTGAATCATCCAAACGGCGCCACTATGCGGGGAGAGGTCGAGGAAGTCGGCCGTCGGGATACTCGAGTGGACCCGATCAAGTCTCGCCAGTGTTAGCGTCTCCGTCGCTCGAGCTCGAAACGCAAAACCTGTCTGCATGATTTCGCCGAGCAATGGGAACCTCTCGGAGAAGGCTGCAACCAATCTACTGTGAGTGAATCGCTCAACTCCATCATGCACCTGGAGCCGCGCCCCTCCTCCCTCGGTATAGTTAAAACCACCTAGCAGAAACGATGCACAAGAAGAGGGAGGTCGCAGTCGCCGTTTCCTGCTGGACAGTTGCTGCTTCAGCATAGCCCGAGGAGCCTCAGGAACGAAGTGTATGTTGATGATATGTAACTGGTTTTTGGAGGAGATGAAAGTGAGGATGGTGATCCTGCCGCGCGCCACAGCCTCGAACTTGGCGCGCTCGAGTGGGTTCGCAAGGTTCTTGGAGACACTCGTAACCGCGCCACCTTTCCCCACGGAACGGCAGAATAACCCAACATGCACGTGTGATTCGATGTCCTTGGAGAGCGCATTGAGGCCCCCAGGGGGCCCGTGAGTCTCCTGGAGGGCGAGGATTTGTCTTCAACGCGAGGTTCTGGACACAACGAAAGGCATTGCGCTGGGCATAGAGGTCCCCGTCTAGCACCCGAAGAGGGCGCGGCCATTCCAACTAAGAACCCCCAATCGACCAGCTGGAAAAAAAAGCTCTGCAATGCTCATGGGCCTCACAGGAAGAGGACGAGGAGGAAGAGGAAGAAGAGCTGGATGCCCCAGCAGCCGCCGAACGTGCCGTACTCGACGACGAAGTGGAAGAGGAGGAGGAGGTGGACGAGGAAGATCTTCTGCTTCGCGAAGCAGCGCACGATCTGGGGGAACCCGCACGCCTACCCCGCGTAGGTGTGCGCCCAGAGGAGGAGGTGGATCCACAGGCACCAGTAGATGGGGAAGAGGATGGAGTCTCTGGCAGTCTTGATGTCCTGGAGGCCGTATCCTATGTGAGGAAGTTGCTGCGGGCAGCCTCATTCACCGCCTCGATCAGGTTGTGCACTTCCTCAGAGGAGATGCCCCAGTCCTCACACTCGGCAATGTTGGCCTCGACGGTGTAGTACTCGATGCCCCCGCGCTGGGTCATCTTTTTCGATGTGAGTGATTGTCATACGTCGGTGTCCGTAGTCACCCGAAGAAGTCCTTTGAATCCATCGACTCCCAATCTGCATGAATCGGTCCATCGAGCGGACCTCTTCAACATGGTATTCATGGGCTCCCAGAGTGCGTGGAAGGCCCGCTTGGTGTCCCTCACTTCCGTGGGGAAGTCCGATGTAACTCGTAGTGCATGTCGTGGCTGATTCCGTGGATCGACCCAGGTCATGCCAACTTGGTTCGCAGTCCTCGTGAATGCTGCTTCCACCACAGCCGAATTGAATCGCAAACTGTATGGCTGACTCACAGCATTAAAGTGTGGCTCAACTCCTTCGCTCAGGAAGTTCGGGAATCGTGCACGTAGCGCCTGCCAATGGGCTTGACGCAGAACTGCAAGTACTGGCCGAGGGAAGGAGCCTATGAACTTCAGGCACCGGCTGGAATCCTGGATGACATCAGCTCTGCACTGGCGAAGGCCGCGCTCTGTGATCACCGTGCCAGCTTGACTGCCTCTGGCCGAACTCGGAGCGCCCGCAGTCGAAGGAACTCCCGTGGACTGTTCGTTAGCCGGCTTCTCGAGCGCATCGTGCTTGGCGGTGAGTCCGTTAACCGGCTCGTAAACCAGCTGGAGCAACTTCGTCTGGGCGTCGAGCACCTGCTGGTGCCTGTTTAGGGAGTCGTTGATCCCGCCCAATCTCGAGTCGATCTGCTCCAGTATGGTCGCTTGTGCTGCCTGCATGCTCTCCGCGATGGCCGCCGCGACCACCGCCTGAATGCCAGCAGCCTCCATGCCTGGGTCATTGAATTGGGGTGTGCAGTGTCCGCCCAAGTTTGACCTCGGGATAGCTCCTAGAACAAGAGCTGCCCACTCAAGAGCGCCCCAACGCATCTTGAGCCAAAACGGCAACGGAGGAGGAGGAGAAGGAGGAGAAGGAGGAGGAGGAGGAGCAGGAGGAGGGGCCGCTGTTTCTCCCCGGGGCCTGCCCGCACAGGCGGTGCAGGCGCCCGAGGTTCTCGAGCCCGCCCTGCGCCACGAGGCCGCCGAGGTCTGCCTCGAGCACGCGGCCGCAGTGCCTTCCCCACAGCTCCTGTGAGGGGCAACGCCAGGTGGGGCGACAGGCTCAGGGGTGGGACGCATCGACCTACGATCGCCCATGGATCTCCGATAAAGGGGCCCGCTGGCCCACCCCGCCCAAGAACATGCGGATTCGAGATCAGGGGCCAATCGCCGATGTATCGGGTATCGCCGATTCCAGGTCGATGTTTCCCTTCCTAAGCCAGCACTCCCCCCCCGGCGAGCGGCGGACACAAGGGGGTGGCTCGGATAATTCAGAAAATATCAGTGTCACGCCGGTCGGGCGACCCCATCAGCGTGCTACCGTTAAAGAACTGCCAGGCTGCTGCAACTATGATGGACGAGTAGCACGCAGAAACTTCAAGTTTCCCTTGTCAATATGTGGATTTACCTGGATTTGCCCAGACGTACCTGGATTTGCCTCGAATTGTCTGCACGCACCTGTGTTATCTGGCCTGATCCCCACAAGTCGTCAAGTCCTTTGGGAAAGGCCACCCCCCTCGCGTCACCCCCTTCGATGATCCTGAGAGCATGTGTCAGCGCCAACGCGTGCCTGTCCACCGAAGCTCTGACATACGACGCAGGCGGCGTCATGAGGGTCGGCACAAGCTGCGTGCGATCAATGGAGCTGAACGGGCTAACCCCAGACACAGACACAGACACACACACACACAGACACAGACACAGCGACACAGCGACACAGAGACACCCACACACACATTCACACACACACACATTCACGCGCACATTCACACGCACATTCACACACACACACACGCACACACTGGGCTAGCATAAGTCCTGAGGACCATCGGCCCCTTTTGATATATGCGCGTCGCCAGCTCCTCGCGCGCGGCGGCCAGCACCGCAGCCGCGGAGCGGCCCTCCAGGTCCTCGGCGCAGCGGGCCTGCTCCTCGTTCAGTCGCCGCTCGCAATGCAAGAGATACGCTGGCGCGCGCGTGCGGCCGAGCAACTCCTCGGACTCGACCCGGTAGAACTCTGCGGTGCGCCTCGGGATCAGACGAAACCAGGACGAAGAGAAAATCGGGTGAGGATAAATCTAAAATCTCTGAGATCCGGCGGCTCTTGAGAATGTCTCGGGCGCCGCGGCCTCAGAGCGTTCTGGAACGCTCTGACAGCGTTCCGGAAAGCTCTGGAACGGATTTATCCTTGTGCCCCGTCCGACCAGGCACAATCGTGGGCGAGAGACATATCCGTATCCGCGGCCTCGCAGACCGGGCTTCTGGGCCTCGACCCCACGGGTGAGGGGCATTTTTTCGCGGATGCTCCGCGCGGAACGTATCCGTGCAACGCGCCCCGGAATCCAGACCGCGAGGGCGCGGACACGAATATGTTCGCCGCTCTTGCGCCTAGGTTAGGAAACAACTCTTGGGAGGTCTGCGTCAGTAAAGGCCATCAAGCCCGATGAAAGGGCCGTTGGGCCAGATTAATCCAGATTGAACTCGGGATCTGGCCGGATCAATCTGGATTAAGCCCCACCTGGCGGGATTAAGCCAGATTATCTAGGTTCACAACCAGCATAGGCCAATTTTCGACCAGGGACATACGAGCGCCGATTCAGAATTGACCCTCCCTGGAGATACATCCTAGCCACGGGACGCACGTTTCACTACAACCCTCGACACGATTGACCTGACGAATGGTTGACGCCCCTCTTCAATGTCGCCCACTTTCACCCTTTCCATGCCGCATACCTTCAGTGTCGAAGCGAAGCGAAACGCGGGCTGAGCGGGTGCGACTCGGAAGTTCCACGATGACCGATTGGATGGCGGGCGCCAGCAAGTACTTGGCACGCAATGTCACACAAATCCAGAACATCCGATCGACAAGGCAACCACGTAACATACTTGGGAGGTGCATGTTTCCGAGGGTAATCGGAGGAGGTGAGGGGGTGAGATCGAAGTGGAAGGGAGAGCCCCCCTACCGGGAAATCGATTTCGGTTTCGTGTTCGTGCGTGCCGTGCGGGCGAGGCGAAGCTGCGTGGGCGGGCGAGAGAAAGTCTCCTGTGGCTGAGGCGCGGCCGGACCAAATGTCTCCCTTCCGGGCGGCCGGGGGCCCGCGGTGTCCCGCCGGTGTCCCGCTGGTGTCCCGTGTGGCTGAGGCGCGGCCGGACCAAATGTCTCCCTTCCGGGCGGCTGGGGGCCCGCGGTGTCCCGCCGGTGCCCCGTCGGTGTCCCGTTCTGATGATGATGATGATGATGATGATGATGGTGATGATGATGATGACGATGTTGATGTTTTATTTTGATGATCGATAGTGAGATCGGTAGTGATATCGATTGTGAGATCGAACGTGAGATCGAATGTCAGATCGCTTGTGAGATCGATTGTGAGATCGATTGTGATACCGAATGTGAGATCGATAATGAGATCGATAGTGAGATCGATTGTGAGACCGAATGGGATATCGATTGTGAGATCGATTGTGATATCGATAGTGAGATCGATAGTGAGACCGAATGTGAGATCGATTGTGGAATATATTGTGAGATCGATAGTCAGATCGATTGTGAGATCGATCGATTGAGTTAGTAGTGATATCACTATCGGTAATGAGATCGATAGTGATTTCGATAGTGAGATCGATGATGAGACCGAATGTGGGATCGTTTGTGAGTTCGGTTGTGATATCGATCGTGAGATCGATAGTGAGATCGATAATGAGATCGAAAGTGAGTTCGATAGAGAGATCGATAGTGAGGCCGAATGCGAGATCGATTGTGAGATCGATTGTGATATCGATAGTGAGATCGATAGTGAGACCGAATGTGAGATCGATAATGAGATCGATAGTGAGTGTGATCGTGAGATCGATAGTCAGATCGAATGCGAGATCGATTGTGATATCGATTGCGAGATCAATAGCGAGACCGAATTTGAGATCGATTGTGGGATAGATTGTGAGATTGATTGTGAGATCGATAGTCAGATCGATTGTGAGATTTATCGATTGAGATCGAATGTGAGATCGGTAGTGAGTTCGATAGTGAGATCGATCGAGTGCGACGTTGGTCCCTCCCCCCCCCCTCACCTCCTTATCACCCGAAGGGTGGTCTATGCGGTAGTACTATGCAGCCCCGTATCGTTATCGGCGGAACGCACACGGGGGTAGGGGGAGGAGCGAAGGCTACTTGGGAGGAGGCGGTGGAGGCTGCTTCGTGGAAGGCGTCGGTCCTACATCTATCATTAGCTGCGGCCCGCGCCGTCTGAGAAGCAGGGGTGCTTCTAAGAAGCCTCCCCCCCTCTTCCCACCCCCCTCTGCGCGTGGGCCACGTTCATTTCTCTGGCGGTATGGCCAGAAAGCGCCCGCCACCGAGCACATGCAAGCAAGATGTCCGAGAGCGCGCGTCGCCCCCGGGAAGAGGGCCGACGCACAAGTAGCATGAGTATGCTTCGGTGCCACCGGCCTTACGAGGCCCGGCTCCAGGCAGTCCTCGTAGATGCCGAGCCTCAGGAGCATGGATACGTAGGGGGCCGGGCTCGGTCCAGCTGCGTCCTCTGAGCATCGTCTAACTGACCCCCATGGCCACTGGCGTGGCCTTCGCCCCTCTAGCCGATTTACCCGCTTAGATTAGGCCTATCCCAACTGGGGGGGTGGGATGATGGGGCTGCGATGCCCTGGCCCGGTGGGGATGCGGATCGGTGAAACGATACTGGTACTGATCCTCCTGCCCACGGCGCTGCGAGTCGATGAGGTCCAGCACGAGCAGCACCGCTCGCTCCTGCACCTCTGGCAGCTCTGCCAGGCACTGGCGGAAGATCTGTGTCCCCCGCTCTTCGAGGCAGCGCGCCGCGCCCTCGGGGTGGCCGCGCAAGTGCGTCTGATTCAGGTACAGGAACACCTCTCGGCCATCGTGATTTTCTCCCAACGCAGCTCCCCAGAGGTCCGCATCCGTTCCCCGGGACCGGCTGCTCATCCAGAGCCGCTATTTTTGCCACGGCGCGAGGAGGCGGGGGCCCCACGATGCCAGACCTCCGAGATGCCCAGCATCGCGCGGCAGTGCCCCGCCCACGCGCCCTGCAGCCTCTCCAGCAGCTCCGCGCCGGAGCCGGGCGGCGCCGCGGCCGCGGGGGCGAGGAGGCGCAGCCGCGCCCGCGCGCGGGCCGTGCACTCCTCCGACAGGCGGCGCGCCAGGGAGGCCGCCTGGCCGTTGAGGCAGAGGGTCTCCACCAGGCGGTAGGCCTCCTCTCGCGCGCCCGGCGCGGGTTCCTCCTCTGAGCATCGCTTATCCGATCCCTATCTCCACTGGCGTGGCCTGGGCCCCACTGGATGGGTTAAACGATGCTGGTCCTCGTGGAGAGACTGGAAACGGTGGCCATGAGCAAGATTGAACGCGGAAGCCGTCCATCAAGGTCACCGTGATTTCGTGGATCGTCCTTCCGAATCGGCGACGGCTGGCGAGGACCATGACAGAGCGTGTTCTGCCGCTCCTGGCAAAAAACCGGGGGGGTGGTGGGGACAGTGGAACAGTGGGGACACATGTGGACAGTGGGACAGTGGGTCAGTGGTACAGTAGGGACAGTGGTGGAGACAGTGGGGACTGGTGGGGACAGTGGTGGGGACAGTGGGAACAATGGGGACAAAGGATTTTCGGAGGGGGGGGAAACTTCCCAGTTCCGGGGGGAGAGGAAGGAGATTTTTCACAGCAAAGCGGCGGTGGATCACGCTCTCTCAAATCTGAATGTAAGCAGAAACTTACAGTGCTCCGCGTGGACTTCTTGGATCGGCGCTGGAATACCCAGCGTCGCTCCACTAAACTCGCGCGGACCGTCCGTCGAACATGTAATTATGCTGATGCCCTTTGTCTTCTTCGAAATCTGGCATTGGCAAGATCCCGCGACGTCTATCGTATACAAAAGGTCGGTGGACCGCGCTGCATCGCCGATGCATCGGCGACACTGGCGTGGAGAAAGCCAGGATTCATATCGACATCCTCAGTGCATCGGCGGTGCGGCGCGATCCACCGACCCCGTCTACTCTGACCCCATCATTTGACGAAGCCAGAACAGGGATAACATCGGACAGGGATACATCGGGAATATCTTAGATCTTGCGGTTCCAGAGGATACATCGCGGGCTCCGCGGCCTTCTCAGAGCGTTCCGCAGCGCTCCCAGAGCGTTCCAGAGCCCTCTGGCGCGACTTATCCCCCCTGTGCTAGCCCCGCCCGACATGTCGGGGGTTGCCAAGGGTGCCCCTGGCCCAATGTGCCCCCAGCTTTTCCCTGCATTCTGGAGCTCCTGAAGCCCTCTAGCCCTCGTGATGGGGTAACCTGAAGGCCGTGGGGGCCTCCTTGGATATCTTGGGGGCACCTTGGGCCAGACGCCTCCTGCACGGGGTCCGAGTAGATGGGGTCGGAGGATCGCGCCGCATCGCTGATGCATCGCCGATGTATCACCGATGCATTGGCGATGCATCGGCGACGTCGGCGATGCATTGGCGACGTCGGCGCGGAGAAACATGGGCTCCACATCGAGCCGCATCGGCGATGCATCGGCGATGCGGCGCGATCCTCCGGCCCCATCTGGGAGGCCAAGAGCTTCCGGCCACACCCGAGCCCGAGGGAGGCCTGGGTCCTCGCCGAAGGCCGCGGCGACCGCCGCGCGCAGGCTGGCCCAGGCGGCGTCGAGGAGCCCCTCGGGCGGCCGCGGCGCGGGCCGCAGGGGGCGGACGGCGAGCGGAGCGCGGCGGGCGCCGGGCGCGGGGCACGCCAAGGCCGCCATGCGTCCCTGCGCGACCGCGAGGCCAAGGCTGGAGGCCTCCTGCTATCTCCTGCACTTCCCCCCCTCCTTCTCCTCTCCCCCCTCCCCCCTCCTTCTCCCCCTCCCCACCCAACCCTCCATCCTCCCCCCTTTCTCCGTCCTCCTCGTCCCTTCCTCCTCCCTCCCCATCTAGCTGCCCTCCCTCTTGCCCCTTCCCTCTCCGAGATGCCGGCTGGACGGGGCCCGACTAGATGAGTCGGTTTTGTTAGAAGATGTGAGCGGACGACGCACACTGCGCTGCCCCTCAAGAGGGCCATCCCCGTATCCATCGACGAGCCGTTGCAGAGCCCTGGGGTCCGACTAGATGAGCTGACGGGGTTGGAGGATCGCGCCGCATCGCCGATACATCGGCGACGGCATCTGCGACGTCGGCGACGTATCGGTCCCGTTGGAGTGGAGAAAATCGGGATCCACATTAGCCGCATCGCCGATGCATCGGCAATGCGGCACGATCCTCGGACCCCGTCTACTCGGACCCCACCAAAGAGGCTTAGACAGATCTCCGACGATACGATTTTCTTGATCCAGCCGTTTTTCAAAAGGTTGCGGCCCCAAAAGTGCCTGCGTCGCATTGGTTTCGCGACGCGCGATCTTCCCGAGACTGACACGGATCGCTGCGGCTCGAGAAATGCCGCAGAAAGATCATGTCTTGGGCTCTGACCGCGGTTCCCTACGATGTTGCATGTTTTGTTCGTGACGTCGGGCATGGAGGCCTGGGGTCTATTACGGGACCCAAAGACAATCAAACATCAACTTGGAACGCAAAGCTCCACACTATCGACTCGGTCGAGGCCTCTGTGGTCGCGAATGGAACAATCAGATCGGGGGACGTACGACTCGAATTGGGGAGGCCCGAGGTGGCCTGACGGGGCCGTCAGAACAAGGACGTGCCCCACTCCAACATTTGGAAAAATTGACGCGACCTTTCAGTGTAAGCACCTCACAAAAACTGAAGCGTCAAAACTCGCACCCCGATCGTTAAAGACCAGCGTAAAACCCGATTCTGGCCAAGACGAGACTTTACGCTTCCTCGATCCTCGCCCTAGCAAGCTCGACGGCCGCGTACTTGAGCCAGGACGGCTGCGTGGGAGTCAAGGCGAGGGACTGTCCTGCGCCTTGCCGCGCCTTCGTTTATCAATCTTGGATGTGTATTCAACGCGTTCCCCACAACCGCCGATCATGTTTGGGCACTCTGTTTTGTTTCGTTCCCCGCGCACGACACGTGGTTTCCCCGTGTTGGGCTTCCTTGTTGTTTCCTTTCAGGCTGGCCGCAACCAGTAAAGTCGAAATCGAACGAAATGACCTGAGCGTTTGAAAGACAACTAAGCGCTGGGTCGGGAGGAGATGGAAGAGCGGAGAGACGATGGGGGGGGCGGAAGGGAGGGGCGAGGGGCGAGGGAGGACTTGACTTGACATGTCCCACGCTGCCTTCCCGTTTGCACACCGACGCACCCCCTCTCAAAAACACCAGATGATGCCCAGGCCCACGTGAAGCTCAGCTCCCTGGCCGCCACAGGCTAGCCCGGACCATCAGCCCAGTCATTGAAAAGCATGCAGGCCCAGTGCTAGTCCATTTCGATCTACCCTAGGCCCTAGGCCCTTATCGGACGTACACACATCAATCCCTGGCCTTCTCGCAACTTCGACGTCACTGTAATGCTGGCGTCCTGCATTACGACGGGCTCGATTTTCCTGTCACGGGAACAGTCGACTGATAATTAGCACAGAATGCGTGATGCTATTTGTCAGTTCCTGCCAGGCCCAAGCTTACTGGGCCACGAATTCCAATACCAGACCATAATAGCACGACCTCTGACAACGTTTGCATGTCCAAAATTCCCGTTACTGTCACATCGTCCCGGGCGTAGCTCCAGAGCAGGATCACTCGTGACAGATTCTGCCCGTCACGTTTATAGTTGGTGACCTTACGATCACTTAAGGGGGAGGGCAGGATGCGATCACGAACAGGACGTACATCGTGGGGAGATCCGAGATGCGGCGGCCCGAAGGCTGTGGCTGTGCGCACCGGCCGTTCCAGAAAACTCCGGAACGCTGTGATCGTTTTGGGACGCCAATGATTCATGATTTCACTGTGGTGGCCTGAGGCACCCTCCCGACCCCTTCAGCTCAACAAGCCGATGCGAACCACCTCTTGGGGGCCCTCACAGGGTCCTGGGACCGTCGAACATCGACTCGTGATGAAACACATCTGGAGGGAATATCGAAACCTTTGGGGGTCCACGCTGTGGAAAAATCGAAACGTCGGAGATCTGGGAGGGCCTTTATCAAGGAACTACTGGCGATCGTGATTTGTTCGTGGCGAGGAGGTCTGGGCCGGGGGGCGGGTCTTCCTATCCAGTGGCGATGAACCAAAGCGGGGCCCCGAGGGACAAGAGACGTATGGGTCCTGGGGCTCCCCATGCAGCCCTGCATGGGGTGCTGCCAACCCTGGGGTACTCGAGAAGGCCCCCGGGCCCAGGGCCTCTTTTCGGGTGCGCCGACGAGGGGAGCCAAAAAGAGGGGGGTCAGCGCATCATGGCCCAATGTACTTGCGCGAACGAGGGGGGGGAAGGGGGGGCAAATAATGTTAAAATTCGCTGGCCCAACGGGCCAGAGGCGTGCCAAAATCTCCGGCTTCTGGTAAACAATGTTTCTATAATCTCCGGCGAGTGGTAAACAATATTTCTAGTTCGCGCGCGCGGGGCGGCCCCTGGGGGTACCCGGACGAAAAGTACCCTGGCCGGTGCTACCGACAGATGGGTTTTCCTTCTGGGCGCGCTTTTCAGGCGCCCACGAGCGCTCCTAGAAGGACCCAAGAGTCCCCAAGACGGTCCAAGAGGGCTCCGAGTCGCCGACCGATCGGTCCAAGAGCCCAAGACAGCCCCCAGACGGCCGCTGACGCTCCTAAGACGCCCAAGGAGGCTCGAAGAAGCGTCTCAAGAGAGCTCCGGGAGGCACAAACCATCGATTCCCCTTTGGTTTTGCAGGATTTTGCCGTTCTCCTCTGTTCGGCTTCCCAACGCTCAAAGACGACCCAATAGACCCAAAATATCGCCCCAAGACGGGCCAAGAGGTCTCCAAGAGAGCCCCGAGAGGGCCCAAGTGGGCCCCAAGACGGCCCAAGAGGCTGCCAAGATGGCCCACGAGATCCCCAGGTCAGCCCCAAGGGGGGGGCCAGACGGGGAACCCGAACGCAAATTTCGAGCCCTCGGCCCCAAGAGGCTCCCAAGACGCCCAAAGAGGCATTGAGAAAGCGTCTCAAGAGGGCTCCAGGGAGCAAAAATTATAGATGTCCCTTCGGTGCTTGGAGGATTTTGCCGTTCTCATATGTCTGGCTTCCTGGCGCTCAAAGAAGGCCCAAGAGGCAGCGAATATCGCCCCAAGACGGCCCAAGAGGCCTCCAAGAGAGCCCCAAGAGGGCCCCAAAACGGCCCAAGAAGCCTCCAAGATGGCCCAAAACATCCCCAGGACGGCCCCAAAGAGGGGGCCAGACGGGGAACTCGAACGGACATTAGCCCTCGGCCCCAAGAGACTCCCAAGACGCCCAATCAGGCCTCGAAGGAGCGCCTCAAAAGGGCTCCAGGAGGTAATTCCATAGATTTCCCAACCACTTTTGCCGTTCTCATCTGTTCGGCTCCCCAGCGCTCAAAACAAATGCCCAAGAGGCCGCAAATATCGCCCCAAAACGGCCCAAGAGGCCTCTAAGAGAGCCCCAAGAGGACCCAAGAGGGCCCCGAGACGGCCCAAAAGGCTTCCAAGACGGCCCAAGACATCCCCAGGACGGCCCCAAGAGGGGACCAGACGGGGAACCCGAACAGACATGTCGAGCCCTCGGTCCCAAGACGCGGCCAGGAGGCCCAGGAACCCCCTTGCGAGACCCCCAGGAGGCCCGAAGAGGTAGCTTAGAGCCCCCATGATAACCCCACAAGAGGCCCCCAAGAGGCCCCCCAGGGGCCCCAGAGAGGCTCCCAAACGCTAGCGATGGCACAGTCGGTCCGAGACAGCCAAGAGGCCGATTCTCTGTGAATTTGCCGTTCTCGCCTTCTCGGCTTCTACATCGGCCCCGTCATCAGAAATCCATGGGGGAGCGGCTCGAGGCATTTTTGGCCGCAACAAGCCGTTTCGCCTCAAAAAAACGACGCAGACCACGGAAGGAAAAACCTGCGCACGGCCCAGTGGGCCGCAAGGACTGAGCGAGTGGAGCAAGGTCGGGAGCGGCCGAGAGGGGGGTGTCCAAGAGGGGGGGTGCAAATCATGACCGGCGGCGCGTGTGCGGCCCAGCGGGGGGGCCAGGGACGTAATGAAATAAAAAGAGGCGCCATGAAATCTGGGGAAATGTCATGGCCCACGCCATGATATCCACCCCCCTAGTCATCACCCCCTTCATTTCCGCCCCCGATAAGGTGGCACCCTACTCACCCAAACCTGCTCAATCCGCATCGTCGCTCTTCTCTCCAACACGAGGCAGGACCTTCGTGCCCCCCCCGCGAAGGGCAGCCGCCACCTGGGCCAGGGCGGCCCGGGATGCTGCGAGGGAGGGGGCCCCGCTGGCATTGCGGCGGGGCGGAACGACGACGTGCGGAGCTGCTCTAGCTGCCGAGAGATCGGCGGCAGCTTGACTAGGAAGCGCCCCGCCCCTCCCCAGACGGAGTGGACGACGGCCCCCCCCCCTCCTCGGGCTGCAAGCGGGCGCGGGCGCATCGAAAGCGAAAGAAGTGCGACAGGGGCGGTTCGCCGCCGCCGTCCTGTCGCGGCACAGTGCTTGGGAGGTATTAGAGGCAGAAGGCTGGCTCACCGCGGCCAGCCCCTGCCATGCAGGGAGGTGCACTGCGGGCCTCCCTGCGGGAGATGAGACTCCTTGCGAGGCGCGAGTAACTCCCCACCCCCCCCCCGACAAGCACGACTCAATGGGCGCGCGCCTGCCATCTGGACACGAAGGGGGCACGCCGCGAGGGTGCGCT